TTAGTGCATCAAAGCGTCGTACCGAAATTGCCAATGATGTTTGCAGCGCCGGCGGACGATGCAGCATCGGTGGTCGGGGAGATGGGGGGAAAGGAAAAGCGTGAGTCTACTGTGACATGTCAACATCGGTCATGTGTGCAACCGTGACACGGGCTTACCACTGCGAAACGGGTTTCAAACGGTTTCAAATGCGGCGACTTGATCCTCCGTTGATGGGGGACTTAGAAATATTATCAAGTCGATGGGCACGGGTGGCAACCTTCAGCTGTATGGGTTTTTCAAATCAGAGGCTGCTGTCTATAGAGAGTTGGCCATCTTCCTTGGATTTTTTGCATATATCAATTATGCAGACCATTGGGACTCACAACAACATTTTGAAGCTGATACTGGGACTCTCGAAAACAAGCGCACAATTCCGCCAAATTTGGTCCTGCGTCTGTGTAGAGTTTAGCCGAATTTAGCCGATCTATGTCGCTTATCCTCGCTTATCTCGTTTAGCCAAATTCTGACAAGGTGTCACAAATTCGGAAAGGACGGTTTTCCTGATGTGCTCAGGCGGCCTCAGGCCGACCTCAAGCAGTCGGCTACTGGCCGAAAGTCTTGGGCTGCTAACCTCAGGTGGTCGGCCACCATCGGCTATTAACGTGAACCTGAGGTCGTCGGTTGTTGACCTCGTCTTACTGCATTGGGACTGCACTAGGTTCGCCTATTGAAACCCGCCGCTGGGTCGGCAAACAACTCTCTTAGACGACGCAGTGCTTCAGAGGTTTGGTGCTCTTCGTTTCGTTCTTGCTGCACTTATACAGTCGCCACTGTCATTGTCGTGTAAGTTATACTGACTTGATTCTCCGGGGTCCCTACATGGGCTGGCTCTGCCGTGACGGTGACACCGATTTTTCCCCATACATTCGGCAGAACATGGGAGGGAAACCCACAGGACAATTCTATAGTGTTGATTCTGCCCTGTGTACAGTCCAAATTACAGAAATAATATATTCCTGCTGCAATAAAAATTCGACTTTCCCCCCATTTTTCGGTCATTTTCGTGACTTGTTGGACGCATTTGAACTTTCCTTCGGTGCCCGTGACTTGTTCGAAGATTTTGGTACATTTTGGCTCCTGTGACACATGACGTCCGAATTGAATAAAATAGTACAGTAAACCACCCCTGGGGATCCCCAAAACCACTCAAATGAAAACGAAAGCACAGCTGTGGAAGTCTTAAAGTAAGAGTATAATCGAATCGAAGTTCAGCGTTGATAAAGCTGAACTTCGTCTAAAAGTTCAACTTCAGATTCAAACTTTCACTTTAGGAAATCTTCGACTTGGGAAACAAAGTTGCTCTCAAAGTTCGACCCGAGCACTGAACTATCGCAATAGTTTCGCACTTCGTTTGCCATGAAGCTAGAATCCTTAATGAAAAATGAGTATAACTGAGGCTCGACTCGACACATCCAACTTTGGTCCTCGACCTCACGGGCAACTTGTGCGAACATGTGAGCTCATACTGAACACATTGGCCCCCAGATGTGCAGCTATGTCCAGGAAATAAAATCCCAAACTTAATTGACGGCACAATGCCGTTGCTTGCTCCCCGAATATTTGGGCGTCGTAGTCACGGCGGTAACGTCGCCGTGTGGGACATTGGTGTTTGTTGGTGTCCGGCAAAAGGTTGGTGAAGAATTCCCGTGCCGCCGACAGTCTCACTTTAAGCGGCGGAACCGACTTTGATTGCACATCAGTCCCACGCTGTGATGCATTTGGCATCAGTCCCACTTTGATGAGTGTCGAGTCCCACTCATGGGATGAGTCTCAGTGATTGTGGCACGGGAGTGGGACTGGACGAGTCCCACTCCCACTAAAATCGTTGTTACTGTTAAGTACTTGCAGAATGATTACTTTCCGTTACTGCCAGAATGTCTGGGCGACAGAGATGGGCCAATGCCCGGATGCCCACGCCAACGTCTGGAATCGAGACTAAGAGTAGCACAGGTTTGAGACTATGTAAGAGGTAGCGGGCCCTGCCGCTCGCCGGCCCTACCCGCCTTATCTATTTATTCAGCGCCGGCCCAGAATGTTTGATGGAAGTCGACCGAGTCACACAATGATACATCTCCCAGATCCGGGCGACTCTGAGTAGTTCAGGTTCTGCAACTTTGCCAGCCGACTCGCAAACTTCGCATTCCCTGCCTGCCCGTTTGGCACTTCTGCCTGTTTGCACAGCTTTCGGATGACTATGCTCAATTTTTGATGGCAGACTTCCGGGGGCAATTTAACACTTCCTCAGCCTTTCTGTGTATGCAAATGGCTCATACGCATCATGTCAGGCCACAGGTGATTATTGAAGACAACTATGCTGCCATATGGTGGCTATCTAGTTATTTGAGTTGACTACTTCCCTCCTTCTTCATCAGTGAAATCTTTGTTGACGATGTCCAGTTTATATGCTTTGGTGATGGCCAGGAGCTTCGGCAGCAACATTCTACCTATCCCCAAGAAAAATCTGCCAGCCACCGAACCTCACCAACCTCACTAGCCGTGGTCCACTATCCAGCTCGAGACCAGGCCAACAGATGCCCGTTTGGATGGATGCTTGATGCAGATTATCCGGGGGTCTCGTGCAACATACGCAAGTCTCGACGGTCACAGGACGCTTGCAGTGGTTCCATGATACGCGAACTGCGCCGCACGTCATACCGGATATTTTAGGCAGCAATCTTGTTAAATCACGAACTGTCACTCAAGTAGATGATCAGCGATACTCTGTTTATAACCTCTGGTATCCACGGTATAGCTCCAGCGCATCTCCTCCCTTCACTTCACCCACGGATGTTGACCGTCCCCCGTATCTCGACGGCGCTCGCCACAGTTGTCATCGAAACTTTCTTCTATGGGATCTACCTTGTCTTATTCCTCACCTCCATCTACTTGCTTTTCACGGCTCAGTCACGGGGCCTGCGGCGCGAGCGCTCCGTCTGGCTGTCGCCCATCTTGTGCGGCGGGTCTGTGCTCTTCATCGTAGTGACAGGTGTACGTGCAGCGGTCGTTCCGCTCTTCTGTTTTTGCGCCTAAGTTCTACAACCCAGCACTGGATCCTGACAATCGACCGGTTGTTTCTGGCATTTGTGACCGTGGATAATGGCGCGAACCCGCTGCGGTTCTATGGCGATTTCTCCCAGGCGACGCAAATTATGCAAAGCAGTCTCCTCCTGGCGTCGTTGGCCGTCGTGGACGCTCTGTTTGTGCGTCGTGCCTTCTTTCATTACTGACACACACTGAGCTCAGTATTCAGGTTCACCGCCTTTCCACTGTCTGGGGACATAAACAACATGTCATGATCTTCCCAGCTCTTTCACTTCTCGGGCTTGTTGGTGAGACATCCTCAAGTATAATATTACACTGGCAGAACTTATGATTGAGTCTGGCAGCGAGCGGTTTCGGCGCTATATACGAGTTTTCGCGATTCTCGCCGGGGGATAGTGTATCCGAATTAGCCAACGGTTGGATCGTCGCAGACACCATCTTTACAGTTTTGTAAGTGGCCAATGTCCAGACTATTGCCCGGGATGACTAATTTTCGTCCAGGACCAACATGTACTGCACAGGTAGATATCCTCCATCTTCTCCATTCCCCACTTCTGACGTCTCTTCTCCATTCCAGCGCTGATTGCCTGGAGGCTCTGGCGCGTCCAAAGTATCGTCAAGCCTGTCGGGGCAAGCAATCTCATGGTATGTGTCTCGTTCTTTTCGTCCGTGATGATATCCCCTCATGCAGTTCACCTGACTTAAGTCCGTCCTCGCCATCATTGTCGAGAGCGCCGCACTGTCTGCGTGAGTCGTCCAGTCTGCATACCTTGTCCTAAGACCGACTGGCGCTCTCCCACTTTTCGATAACAGCATCTGGGCCGTTTTCTTCATCGTCACATATGCCGCGCGGTCGAACCTCCGATTCCTCATCGATGTGACGCCTTCCATTGTTGGCGCGGCGAACATGCTCATCTACGTGCGCGTCGGCCTCGGGTGGGCGTACGCGCCAGTCAAGCCCTTAAATGCGACGGCCACTAAACATTATGCCTCAAAATCAAATAGCCAAGAAACTGTGCCAGTGTGTGACGAGGGGCACTGGAAGAAGCAGGTGGCGCTTGTCTGGTACGTTATTCACGGTTGCCCCGGCAACAGGATGCTCACGCCCAGGGCAGACATCTGGATCGGTTGAGGGGACTGCTGTGCGCACCCAGCGATGAAAATGCACATAATGGCATTATTTATTGAACGATTGCAATGTACATTATTTATGTACTAATAAAGAAGTACAAATACCCATATGTATCTAAAGTAAAGCCAAACACGGCGACGGGCCGTCATGTCCCGCGCCGGCCTAGAACCAGAGCTGTCCGAGGTCCACGCGCTCGTTGTAACACGTTGCGTCCGTTTTTAGCACCCACGGATAATGGGGAGCAAGCTCCCCAACATCAGAATTGAAGATACTGTTGTGTTTAGACCGGATGTTCATCAATTTTGGATTTTTCACTGTCCGAGATGTCCGAAAAATTTTGTTTTGAATTATGGGGATTTTTAAAAGCCTCAGAATCTTCGGCTGTCACCCGTCACCTGAACATCCGGTCTAAACACAACAGTAACTTGGAGCTCAAGGCAGAAAGCCGAACATGTGATCGATCTCATGCCGTGCGCGGAACAAGCGCGGAAAGCTTCAATCTTATCTCAGCCTAGTTCAAGCCTAGTTTGCAGTCCCGGACAGGCGGTGGGAAGTGAGCAACAGCAGTAAGTGGGCAGCGAGAAGCGAAGGCCAAGCAGAGAGCGGCGAGCGGCGGGAAGCGCGCGAGCGGGCGGCGCGCGGGCGTTGAGTGGAGAAGAGGGTTGTTGCCGATATGCCGAGTGTTTGTCAATGTTTACTTGCAACTCCCGTACCATTTCCAAAGTTCCGGCACGGAGCCGGGCCTACTCGCGTTATCTAAACATGCAGGTGACTCACACAAATAGCTTCCCTGGCTCAGTTGGTTAGAGCGCCAGTCTCATATTCGTATGAGTAATCATGTGATTACGTAATCTGGAGGTCGCCAGTTCGATCCTGGCGGGGAGCATTTTTATGGTTTTACATATTCCTATAAGGTCAACAACCAAAGTCTGCGCCTTGATCAGGGAGTGCTTGTTGTTTGTGCCACGACGCAACGAAATCTTCCCCATGCGGCCAAGCATGGGTTCGCCGCAACTTCCCGCGTACTAGCCCTGTAAAGCAAGCTTGTAAAAGTTGCAGCGACCGGCTGCACGGCGGCACGGCATTTCACATGATTGTTCGCAGATACGAAGTTTGTCGAGAAGCGTGGTGGGTGGAGGCCGCCAATGGCATTAGAGCAAAGCAGTAGTGTGGAGCGTTCAATCAAGAAGCTCAGACACAGTACTTTATAAAGAGGCACTACAGACGATAATAATTCGTTCGACCGAGAGTCACTGCACGATGCACATTCCAAACGTGCGCTTTTTTTGCAACTTTGTCAGCAGACTCCCGAACTGTGGATTCCCGCTACCGTAAGGTACGGGTTTCTATAGGGCGCCCGAATTTTGGATTTTGGCCGTGCATCACATTTTCATTACAAGGACAAACAAAATTTGTCATTTTGAACCTGTCATGTTTCAAAAAACACAGCAATAGAGAGTTGTTTGAAGAACATCTCAACTTCCACTTGCAGCCCTGATCACTGTTGTCTGTCTGATTTTTCTCATGTTTTTTGGTTGTATATATCTCTGTTAATGTTGAAATCTGCTGCAATGGATTTGTCATTTTTGCTTAGAAGTTGGAACACTCACATCACGGCCATCAGTTACCATGTGAACGCAACCACTGGTATGGGTCTGTAACAGCCGAGATGCGGCATTACGAAATCCCCACAGCGGCACTACATTCGGATCAAGCCGCCGTTCCACCTCTGGTGTACAAGTCAAGATAAAGAATTTAAGGGGGTCGTTTGGGCCGCCTCCTGCAGGCATTTCTTGCTCAATTCCTTAGCTGTTTCTTCATTTTTGATACCTCTATAACCCCATCCACCCAGATTTTTTAAATATATTATGTGGAGGTACTACAAAGCGTGCCTCATCAGGAAAACCCAGATCTGCCAATTTGCGGCAAATGTCGCCAATTTGTGACATTGAACCATTGATCGCCAATCTGTGTTATTACAATCTTGACATTTGCTCGCCAATCAAACACCTTTGCAGTCTGTACGAGATTAGACCACAGTTACATAGGCACTCACATCAGGAACACATTCTGCAGTAATAACCCAAATTTATAGTCAAGGTCTCCGACTTGGCAAAAAATGCGAAGTCCACTCATCTCGTGGTCATCTGTTATATGACGGGAAGTCACCGCTGGTAACGGCAAGTTGCCGTTTCGTGACAGCAAGTTGCCGTTTGGTGACGGGAAGTCGCCGTTTTGTAACGGTAAGTCGCCGCCTTGTACTTAACGGAGCACGTTGTGACGGTAAGTCACAGTTCTCTCTCTCTTTCCCCCATCACCCTCGCTCCCTGTACCAGCCCCTGCTCTCAAATTCGCGAAGGCTCAAGTGCCAGCCTGCTTGTAGCTGCAACCCTGTCTTGTCACCTGCTTGAGCCTGCTGCTGTCTGCTCGCCGCACCTTTCAGACTGCCTTCGCGCAAGTATGAATATTTTGTCTAGGTGAACTCCGCAACACCCGCCTCCCTTGCCTGCCTGCTTGCTACGTCGACCTTTTGCGACCACCTGCAAGTCCCTACCTGCAAGTCCGAAATCGTCAAGATTGTCTGCACAGCACGCCGCAACTGCACCAGCCGTCAAGATTGTCTGCAAGGCACGCCGCAACTGCACTAGCCTGCACGCCCGCCACGTGGCTGAAGTACCGCCCGTTTAGGTGCGCTGCGCCTTGCACCATCGGCCGCCGTGTCACGTTGAACGCGCGCAGCACGCGCGGGTGCGTCGCGCGCATTGTGCCGGAGTTGCCGAGGACGGCGCAGGCTGTCAGCGGCGTCCCATGCTCCCTCCTCCCGTCGCATGCACGCAACCACCCCGTAGTTTAACATCTTTCTTCATTACATTGACTTCTGTATCAAATGTATGTACCCCTACCTTACTTTAATCCATATAGTTTTTTCGTGTCAACTATGCCCCGCGTGGGATTTATCATGCATCCGGAAAACTGTGCTCCTTTGATCCCAATTCATGCCAATCACTTGACAATCTGTACCAACAAAATGTTACAGGGGCTGGACATTCTGCCATTCCGTCAATTGGCAACAATTGGCAACAATTTGCAGCAATTGGCAACAATTTGTGTAAATTAGCAATTCTGAGTTTTCCTGATGCTGAGCCTTGAACACCTTCCTGTCAGTCAGATTTCGCTCTCGGCGTTCACATTTGATCCATCTGATCTCCGTCATATAACGGCAACCACAACTTGCATGACAAAGAACGCGAGGCGGAAAAGGGCAAGGTACGGATTAACTTTCAATTGCGTGCACCCAGTATATCATTGGTCTTTTGTGCAGCAATTTGAGAGGCGACGAGAATTATGGTTGAAAATGATCCTCCAGGATCTTCAGCCGATCAACAAGAACATGGTAAATCATTGGAGGGATTGTCACCTACAATCATGTAGGCATTAACATGCATGAGATAACCTCCGACAAGGAGTTCAAGAGGTAGACGAGGCAGCGCTGACATTATTATTGTTAACGTGGGGAAGGGTTATTAGAAACGGAACATCGTAAGTTTGATCGAGCCATGCGAGCACCATGGTGACGGTGCAGCCTGGAATCCACCGATTCCGGCCCTCCCTAGTAACATCACTATTCACCTGCGACACCAAAGAGAGCGAGGGATGAGGCTGCCGATGCGGTTTCAAGTAGTGCTGGCCAGGTCCGGTTCGGGAAGTCGGTTCGAACCCGAACCGGACTGAACCGAACGCTAGGTTCAGGTTCGAGTTCACCAAAATACCCGAACCTGAACCTGAGGTTCGGTTCTGCGTTCGCCCATCGTAGTTATTTCCCGAACGCGTTCGAACACGTCCGAACGCTGAACCTGTATCAGTCCAAATTGGTGTGAATTGTGATCGCCAGGGTGATTGGCGGTGTGATTGATGGTCCGGCAACGGTCGGCAGGCCAGAGGAAGAATCCAAGAACAACATCACGGCTTGTACGTCCTCGCCAATGTTCGCCGGCGCTCCGGCGGGCATCGGGAAGGCGGGCCGTATATTGCTCTTGTTTCACATTGCGGCTACACGTCTTGCACTAATGGGTGTACATCTGCATGTATTAATTTGCTAATCAAGTCTGATGCATGCCATGATAATATAATGCACACCCTCCATCCGAGGAAAGAAAATAGGAGAAAAATTCGCCGCGGCGTCCGGTTCAGCGTTCGAACGCTACTGAACGCCGAACCGAACCTCCCGAACCTGAACGCGAGGTTCAGGTTCAAGGTTCGCCATTTACCCGAACCGAACCTCAGGTTCAGGTTCGGCGTTCGGATAAAATCCTCCCGAACCTGAACCGAACCGAACTTCTCCAGCACTAGTTCCAAGTCGTCGCCAAGCCCGGGCACTGGCAAAAGGGTAAAGCGCAAGTAGCTGGACATTTGTGCCTCAGGACTAAGTTGAATCATTGAAAATTCGGACGTATTAAGTTATCATACTTAGATTACCAAACAATCAAATTTACATAAATACAACCGTTGTCTTTCTCTATATCAGGTAGCGGGCCGTGCCGCTCGTCGGCCTTACTTGCTTTATTCCCTGCCTGGCCCTGAGAATAGCGATTCGGGGAAACTTAAGCTTTGTTTTTGCCCATGGGCACATTCTTGCATATTATGCCAGGGTAGTTGTTCACATACTCCAGGTTATTGTCGGCGGCCTCCTGCTTGATAACCGCGTACTGCCAAGCAAGGTTGGTGATGAACGAATCTGCATCATGCTATTAGTTGGAACTGGGCGGATGGCGTATAACTTGCCGGCTGGGATATTCATTGGGCTACATAATAAGTAAGACGTGGTGGATGCGGAGTTGAGCTCGAGGGGTCTCACCCTGTGATCATGTCGGAGTTGTTGTATATACGTTCAGCTACGGCTTTGTACTTGCTCTCAAAATTGTTGTATTTATGTAACTGTGGGAAAGTCAGTGCAGGTATTTCGCGCAACCCACATGGTCCCGTTCCTGCTCCGAGGCAGGCGATTTGTCGAACTCGTACACGCGGGCACTGTAACGGTCAGCGCTGAAGGAAGCGTGGGTTCTATTGGACAGGATCTTACCCAACGGGATTCCATCTGTATTCTGCATAGATCCAGTTGTCAGATAGCCCATGTTAATATTGTTTGCAACGTACCCAAAATCGTTATGTCTGTGGAGCGGACTTTCAAGGTTCCGAAGCACGCGAACTGCGCTGCAACCATAATACTGTCAGTCATGTAAAATCCGCCGGGGATATCTACTCGCATTTTAGTCAAGAAAAAAAGGACAACCACAAAAACGGAATGCGTACCGGGGAAACGGTTGCGGTGGAAGTCTCCGGCATCTGCCCCTAGTGTAAGATTGACCCCGGCAATGAGGGAGTCTACATGTGAAGGAAGGGTCCCGTGGAATAACGTGATTGGGTTCTGGGCAGAGGGGTGGACCACCCCCGCGCGCGAATCGAGTTCACGCTTTTCGAGCTGATTCGGGGTGCAGATCGTGGCGAACTCTTGGACAAAGTGCCAGTTCCCGCTTTCCCGCCTGGTGTATATGTTGACGAGTTTCTTTCCATCGAGCGTCGTGTGATAATCCACGAGCATGTGCCCTCCGCCTACACCGTTATCCGTTCCCAGGAGGGTCAACACCGCGTTCTTCCCGCACGCAAGGTCGCTTGCACGCCCTTTCGTCCAAGCGGTATCAAAAGCTTTTATGTCACCAGCCATTCCGCTCTGCCTGTAGAGATGCTCGAGCGCCTGTATTGTCACCTTGTTATCGATGTGATGCTGCATGATAAATCTGAGATCGGATGGGTCTGAATCATCGCCGCTCCTGAACTCTTTGTACAGTTCCATGGCAATAACGTCCCAGTGAACCCGATCATCGTTCG